ACGGATGGCAAATCAATAGATGAAGTGCTGAAACTTCATCAGTTGAGATGGTTGGGACATGTATTACAAATTCCCAACCACCGACTCCCTCGACCAGCTATGTTTTATGGTGTAGGAGGGGTAGGCTGTAAGAAAGCTAGGGGCGTCCAAATCAAAATATGGCACAGATCGATGAAATAACAAGTGGACTTGGTCATGTTGATATGTACAGGCTACCTGGTTGAAGTGCGTCAGACGATAGTATCCGATGGTTAGAGACCTTGAACGACATGGCTCAAAATCGTTTGGAATGTCGCAGGTGCATTTATTCTTTGTGTTCTATGAAATCCTAATCTTTTGAATTCCTCATCATCTCTATCTTTCTCTTTCTAAAGTTATCTCATTGAATTATACTTCTTGAATAATATCTTCGAACCCTGATATTCTTCATTGCCAGTAATGGTTCTACTGTCTCCACCACTATGGTATTTGAACTGACAGTGATGTCTCTATGCTAATGCGGTATGGCAACCTGAAATGACATACGTACGTATGAACGAAGCTCTACATTGTGATTGACTAACTAACTGACTGACTGACTGATAAGTGTTATTACAGGTTATGTGTATTTGAGTAGAAAACTGATTCATATATCTATTTGAACATAATCATCACATATTGTCACTTTATAACTATTTTGTTCGAGTCCCATTACTGAACGCCTACATCGGGACGCAAGTGTATCCAATTTAATAAATCGGAAACGGGGAGGATCATACGTCCTGGATTCAACTGTTAGGCACATTTTAACTATTCTAAATCATTTTATGTCATTATTGTCTATCTATATGTCTATGCAATCCGCACTGGATATCTATGTGTCAGCCAAGGGTATCAAACACGAAATAATGCAAATCATTTGAAACTGAATTATTTCAACTAATTTAGGTTATAAAAATATCCGATAATTTTGTATATTCAATGCTTCGGTCAGTCAATTACAACGTGGAACTTTGTACATGCCTGCATCAGTTCATGTTGTCATACCGCATTAACCACAGAGACGTCGCTGTGCGCAATGCTTCTATAACAGTGCATAAATTCCCAAATTACACACAGTAGATATCTTCCGTAAACTAATTAGTGCTTTAAGTAAAAGAATAGATATTTTATACATTTCTAAAACTTTTAATCATTTATTTCTTACTCTGTTTTAATCGTCATGTACTACTACTACTACCACCGACTGCCTCGACGAACTATGTTTTGTGGTGTAGAAGTAGGTTGGAAGAAAGCTAGGGGCGATCGAATCAAAACATGGCACAAATCCATGAAGTCACTGACAAGTGGACTGAGTCATGTTGGTAGATGTAGACTACCTGGTTGGGGTTCTCGCGACCAAAGTCACCAATGGTGAGAGCCCTTGAACGACATGGCTCAAAATCGTTTGCCATGGCGCAAGTGCATCCATTCGTTGTGCTCTCTCACTTCCTAAACTTCTGGATTCGTCAGCACATATACCTTTGTCTTTCTAATCTTTTCTCACTGATTTATACTTCTTGAATAATATCTTCGAACCCTAGTCTTCTTCTTTACCATTAATACCTCTACTATCTTTATCACTATGGGATTTGATTTGACATTTGCGTCTCTGTGCTAAGCTAATGTGGAATGACAACCTGAACTTATGTACATACGTACGAAGTTCTACGTTGCAACTGACTGACTAACTGACATGTACTACTATGTACACAATCCTATCGTCTTATCCAATAAATTCACTTGCCCTTCTCCTTTTTCGTACGAAGTTCTACGTTGCAACTGACTGACTAACTGACATGTACTACTATGTACACAATCCTATCGTCTTATCCAATAAATTCACTTGCCCTTCTCCTTTTTCGTACGAAGTTCTACGTTGCAACTGTCTGACTAACTGACATGTACTACTATGTACACAATCCTATCGTCTTATCCTATAAATTCACTTGCCCTTCTCCTTTTTCGTAGCATTTTCTTTATCAAAAAAAAATTAACTTGGAACTGCTTTTCTTGGATCATTCAAATTCAAAAAAGCTGGATTCACACAGTCTCCCACTTATTTTCCCATTATTCTATGTAGATTACATTCAGATTTGTGAATTATAACTCGATAGACTCAGTCACAGTTATTTTTAAACAACCATCAAGACAAGAGATTATGATGTAGGGCGGGGGGGAGAATATTCAGAGTACTGGTCTGGTTATCGATTTTTTTTCTGACCATGAAAAAAAAGCATATGATTATTTATTTATTCAAACAACAATTGATTCGCTTTCCTAATTTCAATTTAATTAAAAAAATTACGCCTCAATTTTTTTACAACATCGATAGTTCCGCATAGGGTTTGTTGAATTCTATGTATGTTGTATGAGTGAGTAGTAGTCAGCAGTTGCACATTACTAGTTCGTTACAATGAATTAATTCATTTTCTTCACTTGCTTATTATTTATTATTTGTATGTATGTTAACTACAACCAGTGTTAGTTAATCAATTTGCCTGTTTTTTTTGCTGTGTAAAATTTTTCCCATGCTTACATATTTATAAATTGGTTTTGTAAGTGAATTAGAAATTACTTACTTACTTACGCCTGTTACCCCCAACGGAGCATAGACCGCCCACCAGTTTTCTCCAACAGACTCTGTCCTAGGCTTTCCTTTCGAGTTCTGTCCAATGTTTGTTCATTCCTCTCATATCTTTATCTATTTCTCGGCGTAATGTGTTCCTTGGCCTTCCTCTTTTCATTTTGCCTTGATGGTTCTATGTGAGGGCTTGTCTTGTGACGCAGTTAGGTGCTATTCGTAGTGTGTGTCCTATCCACTTCCACCACTTCTTCCTGATTTCCTCCTCCACTGGAATCTGGTTTGTTCTCTCCCACAGTACGTTGTTGCTGATCGTGTCCGAAGTATTTTGTGAAGAAAACTGTTAAGGAATACTTGTGTCTTCTGGATGATGGCTTTCGTAGTTCTCCATGTTTCCGCTCCATACAGTAGAACTGTTTTGACATTTTTATTGAAAATGCTGATTTTGGTTTTGTTTGAAAGTTGTTTGGAGTTGCAGATATTTTTCAATTGTAGAAATGCAGCCCTTGCTTTGCCGAACCGCCCCCTCACATCTGCATCGGATCCACCTTGATTGTCGATGATGCTGCCCAGATATGTAAAGGTGTTAACGTCCTCCAAGGCATCTCTACCAAGAGTGATTTGGTTGGTGCATGTTGTGTTGCATCGGGGAATTTTGCTTTTTCCTTTATGTATGTTGAGACCTATTGCTGCTGCAGAGGCTGCTGCTACACTGGTCGTCTTCTCTTGCATTTGTTGTTGAGTGTGCGATAGAAGAGCCAGGTGAATTAGAAATGCTAGTAAATCAATAAACCCAAGATTATTGATATTCTTATTTAACATTTTGTCATAATCTTATGTATGATATTTTCCATATAAACGTGATCGATCAGCTGTTTGACTTGTCTTTCTATATTTCATTGTTGGAGCCAGTGGAAATGTAGTAGTGACTCATTTTCTATACTTTAAGTTGGTACATACATATTTGTGTGTATGAAGTATCATATTGAGGTAGTTTTTTTTTCTTCTGTGAATTCATTCATTTCATGTAGAACATTTTATCAAATATGATTAGCTTCACTTATTCAATCGGGTACTAATTAAGAATGGCAGATCAATAGACGCAGTAGTGACACTTCATCAGTTGAGGTGGTTGGGACATGTGTTGCGTATGCCTAACCATCGGCTGCCTCGAAGAGCTTTGTTTTGTACTATAGGAGTAGGTTGGAAGAAAGTTAGGCCCGGCCAAACCAAAACATGACACAAATCCACGAAGTCATTGACGAGTGGACTTAGCCATGTCAGTAATTGTCGACTACCTGGTTGGGGTCCGCGAGATGATAATAATCGATGGTTAGAGACCTTGAATGACATGGCTCTAAACCGTTTTCAATGGCGCCGGTGCATTTATTCTTTGTGTTCTCTCAAATCCTAATCTTCTGGATTCTTCAACACCTCTAGTTTTGTCTTTCTAAACTTATCTCATTTAATCATACTTCTTGAATAATATCTTCTAATCCTAACCTCTCCGATTACTTGTAATACCTTTACTACCTCTTCTACTATTGGATTCGAATTGACAATTACATCTCTCTGTACTGATGTGGTGTGGCGACATGAACTGATGTACTTACGTACGAAGTTCTACGTTGCAACTGACTGACTGACTTCAATGTGTAAGGACTAGCCATTACTGTTGACATAACGAAAGTCAGTGCAGTTTACGCTAGCTAATCTGAGTTTTCTTTGTCACCGTTGTGATTTCCGATAGATTGTGAAAAAGTTGTGCTCATCTTTCAGTGAGAAACTCTTTATTCCATGATTGTAAAACCTGGATTATCGAAGTTAAAATGGAAGACAACTCCGTGTTCAAATCACTGTTGACTTCAAAGGATTGCTGACATTCGGTAACAACACTATGTCAGTTCTGGCGACGTTTCACCACGGATATTCGGATTCTGTAAAATTAATTTAATGTGTTAGTGTGCTATTTTCGTAACTGTCCCAAGGACGTCGTTTCTATGATGTATAAATTAACTATAGTTGTGTGCTTGATTGTATTGTGTGATTGCTGGGTGTTTGTAGAATATATTTTCTACGCTTACACAGCCTTCTGTCTTCAGCTTGGGATTCAAGGTAGCCTATCTGGACTCTGGTTCATTGTCTTGTTCGCGTTTATCGACTAAGGTGAACTCGTAATAACTTCAAGCGTACCAAGTGACGAATATATCAATATCAAATTTATATTCAGTTAGAAACATTCCAGGTAGTGGTAGTCTGTCAGTGAAATGAATTGGCACTTATATATATATATATATATATATATATATATATATATATAGATTAGGCAATCAATCATAAATGAAGAATTCACTTAACCTTCATGTTTATTTTATTTTTTTAATTTTTGCTGCTTTAGCTGCAACCTCTCAATTGGATCTTTCTACTCAACCGATCAATGTGAATAATAGTTTTCCATCGCAAAGTTTATATCCTCGTGACGATTCAGGTAAATCAAGGATATCAGCTAGTTCATTTTTAGATGAACAAGGTGAGAATTGAGTTCAACGGAATTTCCTAGTGTATATTATTTTTTTTACTAATAACTTTATGTATCTAAATTGGCTGTTAAATCCTATACTGAAGCATCAGTACTCTTGAAATTGAAAGAACACCTTCCTTACTAGTTGCAACTGCATGAAATCTATATTAACCGTCTCACGTACTATCATAAAACACCAACTCTGTACATATTTTCTTCAAAGCAACGTCAATCAATAATATTTTGTAGTTTATGCATTTACTATGCTATTTCTCATAATAATTTTTAGCGTTAATATGTTGTGATTGATCAGATCTACTAAACCAAGTCAATGTGACATGGTGATGATATAATGAAGCCACACTCAGAAGTGGCCAAACGGGGTCACTTGATGAAAATCAATAATATCCTAAAGGACGAGTGCATATTATCGGTATGGAAGTGGATTCACTTTATAAGCAGTTGATATATATATATATATATATATATATATATATATATATATACCATAGTGTTTATTGATTGTGGCAGTATTTGTGGTACTGGAAAAGATTGGGGATCAAAAATATGATTTTGAACACTGCACATCCTAACACACAGTTGCCAGTAGTCTTGATGTTGTTATTGGTTAAGGTTTATTTAACGAGTTAGATTTCCACGTGATGGAGTCACTAACCCCATGTGCAACCCCCACTCCCTTATCCGGGCCTGAGACCTTGGAAAGGCTCCAGGTGGAGTTAGTTGGTTTTAATCAAACCAGTGTAAATCACTTAAATATTTTATTTAAAAGTTAACATTTTACTGTCTCCATATGGATGACATATCTATCTTCTGTAAACGTGTACTACATGTCAATTTAAGATACAGATGCAGTTTAATGAAGTACAAACGGTGAATAACAATTCTTTGTTCATGCGCGCCTGCACATTAGAAATGATGCAGCCAGTGAAATAATATTATTCAAGAAGTATAATTCAGTCAGATAAGGTTAGAAAGACAAAGGTAGAGGTGCTGACAAATCCAGAAGATTAGGATTTGAGAGAACACAACGAATGGATGCACTTGCGCCATTGCAAACGATTTTGAGTCATGTCATTCAAGGTCTCTAACCATCGATTATTATCATCTCACGGACCCCAACCAGGTAGTCGACAATTACCGACATGGCTCAGTCCACTGGTCAATGACTTCATGGATTTGTGCCATGTTTTGATTTGGCCGCCTATAGCTTTCTTCCAACCTACTTCTACACCACAAAACAAAGCTCTTCGAGGCAGTTGGTGGTTAGGTATACGTAATACATGTCCCAACCACCTCAACTGATGAAGTTTCATAACTTCATCTATTGATCTGCTATCCTTACCGAGTACTCGTTTCCTGACGATAGCATTGCTTACTCGGTTGTCCCACGATACACGAGCAATGCTTCTTAATCATCTATGATTGAATACGAGTAACCTACGAACGTCTTCTACTCTTAACAGCCATGTTTCGCATCCATATGGGAGAACGGAGCTAACTGCCGCACTGTACACTCGTTAGCGAACGGATATCACGCCTACGCCACAAGTGACCCAGGTTGGCAAAAGCCAATCGAGCTTTCTGTATCCGCGCTGATGAGACTTGTTGATTGGAATTTAACTCATTTATTAGCTGTGTTCTTTTTTGAGGTGATTCCACCAGGCTTACATTATAAAACATCATACCATTACCCTTAAAGTAATCATTGCATTCGTGTAGAGATAATGTAAATTTTATGATTACTTTAATCTGGCAGAAATATTTGTGATTTGTTCTACGTGAGAATCGTCAGCTAGATATATGCCTATGTCCCATCGTTGATGTTTTTTACATTGAACTTTGATAAAGTCAACGTGTTATTAAGTGCTATATCGATTCAATGCAAATCATTGTACACATATACAAACCAGATTCTACATTGCATCATATGATTGACTGACTGACTGACCATTGGATGGTTGGTTTAATTATAATCCATCATAGTAAATAATTCAATAAATTCATGCCCTTCACATATATTTTTCTTGAATGTTTCTTTTTTTCACTAGGTGTCGCAACACCTATTCAACAACGAACTGATGGAGTTGGTGAAGTTTCAGTTGCACCTTTTGAATCGCCAGGTAGTTTTCATATCTCAACATTCGCTTCTCAACTTGGTGATCGACCTAGTAAACCTATTGAAGGTGATTATTATTATTATTTTTATTTTCTATCCGAACACTACACCTACTTGAACTTTGATTAGTTCTGGCTGCTACCTGGTTTGGGTCCGCGAGACCGTAAGTCACCATTAGTTAGAGACTTTGAACGACATAGCTCCAAATTGTTTGCCATGGCGCAAGTGCATCCATTCTTTGTGTTCTCGCAAATTCTAACCTTCTGAATTCCTCATAATCTCTATCTTTCTTTTTCGAAAGTTATCTCACTGAATTATACTTCTTGAATATTATCTTGGAACCCTATTCTTCTCCGTTACTGCTAATACTTCTATTATTACTGTCACTGTTGGATTTGAACTGACAGTTGCGTCTGTGTGCTGATGGGGCATGGCAACCTGAACTGATGTACTTACGTACGTACAAAGTTTTGTGTTGTTGTATCTCTGTCTGTAACTGTTTGATTAAAAACAATCCGTTATCTAGTTGCGTAAAAAAAAAATAATAAATTCACTTGGTTAGTTGAATTATCATCATTGAAGACAAGTTTTCGTGTCAAAGATAATCGTTTATTTTTGAACCGATGATTCAGTAGTAATTTAGATGGTTTGACTTTCAAATCCCACTAAACTTACTTACTTCAGTTTGAACAACTAGGCAGTATTAACATTCTTTCTAATATGATGGTGTGGCCCAAAGTGATATAAACGATTAGCTACGTTTTTCGTTTTTTCTAGCTCATCAGTTTAATAATTTTCCATTGTTCATTCCCCTTACACTTCCCTTTTGAATCACTTTTCGTATGGTTAATTTCTCCCATAGTTCATGAGTTTCCATCTTCTTTTGCCTATCATTTGGTTAATTTTATCTCTCACATTTCTAATGAACAGTAAATTGTACCGACGTGTTTATTCGTCTGAAGTTGTATATTTTCTACAGCTGACTACTGATTAATCGAATTGAATGGTGAAAACATCTCAATAAGATAAATGACCAAGTCCTAGGCCTTGATTATTAATTTAAAGTCATATCACTCAACCTCTCCTCTAACTATTTATCGAGATTATCATATAGACTTAAACTGCTTGATTTGCATCAGACCAATGGTCAATAACTTCATAGATTAACACCCGCGTTGTGATTTGGACCACCCTTGGAGTAATTTCATTCTTATCCTACACCAACCAACATTGCTCATAGTGTGGTGCGAGCTACTTATAAGTAGTATATGACGTGAGCGTCAACGTAATGTCTGGCAACGGGAGATGGGGGGGAAGATCAAGAAAAGAAGAGTTAGAAGAACACAATGGAATTTGTATGAAACGCATGAACAGTGACAATGGATTGATGTTTTGCAACAGGAACAGTCCAGTTCGATATGATGAACTGTTATTTTGCAAATGAACGATTTACGATATGGTTTTCCTATTATACTGAGTAACTCTGTAATTTTCGTTAAATACAATTCGGTTGCCCTCACCTGTGTTCTCGTTCACTACAATAGAAGCATATAAAAAAAGGCTATGCATATCAAGATTTAACAACTTTGATTTTGTCAATGTGTTCTCAAGCTTCTAGTTATACAAAGTTGTAGAATATTTCTTGATTATTATCATTGTTATTATTATTATTATTACAATCTACATTTTAGATATGACAAAGCGTGAAACAGCTGAATATGTGACACACTTATTGAAATCATTACAAAGTATGTTGATGTTTTTTGTTTTTGGTTGTTGTTGCTGTATTTGAATATTTTTTTTAAAATATTTTACTTGTGAATAATTTATTATCAAAGTATATGTTTTTGTTATTATCTTTTCACTGAACTATATCTATCTCAGCCAATCAGTCAGTCAGTCAGATGCAACGTAGAACTTCGTACGTAGGTACGTACATCAGTTCATGTTGCCATACCACATCAGTACAGAGATATAATTGTCAATTCAAATCTAATAGAAGTACAGGTAGTAAAGATATTAGGAGTAATCGGAGCGGTTAGGATTAGAAGATATTATTCAAGAAGTATGATTCAATGAGAAAAGTTTAGAAAGTCAAAACTAGAGGTGTTGAAGAAGAATCCAGAAGATTTGGATTTGAGAGAACACAAAGAATAAATGCACCGGCACCATTGCGAACGATTTTGAGCCATATCGTTCAAGGTCTCTAACCATCGATTATTATCATCTCGCGGACCCCAACCAGGTAGTCGACAATTACTGACATGGCTAAGTCCACTCGTCAATGACTTCATGGATTTGTGCCATGTTTTGGTTTGGTCGCCCCTAACTTTCTTTCAACCTATTCCTACACTACAAAACAAAGCTCTTTGAGGCAGTCCGTGGTTAGCCATACGTAACACCTATCCCAACCACCTCAACTGATGAAGTGTCACTACTGCGTCTATTGATCTGCCATTCTTACCTAGCACCCGATTCCTAATAACAGCGTTGCTCACTTGGGTGTCCCACGATATACGAGCAATGCTTCGAAGACACCTATAATCGAAAACCAGTAACCTACGAATATCCAACTATCTATCTATCTATCTATCTATCAGTATGATGCGTTAATTCAAGTTAATACTCATAAATAAATTACAAAAATTAATAAGTGTTAGTTAATTAATTCTCTTCTAAAGAATATAACTGTTGGCAACTATTTGGTTTGCACAATATTTTCTTTTACATGATACAGGAAGAACTAGCTCTCTTGAACTGGATCTCCTAGTAGACAGTCGCTTGTGCGCCGCTGTCTAACTATACGACAGGATAGTTCGAACTCAAAAGGATAGGGGCATTCGCCGTCGCCTCTTTGTTTTCTCTATCTACGCTCCTACTGTCTGCAGTTCATACGATGAAAAAAGGTGATGAGACTACAGAAAGCTTTGGGACCTTCTCCAAAAAGTTAGGCGCTCTGATGTAGTCCTAATGGCTGGTGACTTCACTGTTTAAGTAGGTAGACTCAGTGAAAAGGAAGGACACCAGGGTGTGGATCTTATGGTGTCTCAGCTAATCGAACAGATAGTGGCGACCGTCTTCTGTGGATTTGCTCAGATAACCACCTATTTCTAGTTAATACTAACTTAAAACATGAAGAAAAACAGTTTTTGACCTGGAGACCTTAGAGTCGTCTTAACGCTGGACCCAACTAGATCACATCGCTATCAGCCACCGATGGAGGGTTTCGGTAGAAAACTGACAAGTGGACTGTGTCATGTTGGTAAATATATACTACCTGGTGGGGGTCCGTGAGACTATAGTAATCGATGGTTAGAGACCTTGAATAATGACATGGCTGAAAACCGTTTGCAACGGCTCAGGTGGATCTATTCTTTGTCTTGTCTCAAATTCTAAGATTCTGAATCCTTCACCACCTTTTAAGTTTTTATTTCATTAAATCCCTACTTCTTGAATAACTTCTTCGAACCCTAATCTCTCCGATTACTGTTAATACTTTTACTACGTCTACTACTATGAGATTTGAAGTTAAAATTGTGTCTCTGTATGCTAATGTGGTATGGCAACTTGAATTGATGCATACGTATGTTACTAAGTTCTACGTTGTTGTTGATTGATTGATTGATACAGGACAAATGGTTTAATAGTTGTTTCTCAACTAAACATATGCTGTTTTTTGATTATAGCTAACCAGTGATGTATCTAGAGTTTAATAAGACATTATCTTTAAAAGAAGTACAATTTATCCTGTCAAGTTTATTATTAAACATAATAAATCGAAATTCTATAGTTACACATTACATTATACAACAAGTAACGGAACTCATCATTTTCTGCATAGTTTCAAGTGGTACTTTTTAACCTAAGAATACTATTGTTCTCATGAAAAGCAATTTTAAGTGGCTGTAATGAATAGAAATAGTTTTAATTAAGCATATTCATTAAATATCCTAAAGAAATAATTTTGTAAGACTTATTCAATTGGTTAATTCCTATTGGTCAATATTTTAAGGTCGTTTTAAACTATCAAAGTGATATACTTTTAAATGTTCTTTTCTATTAGTTAGTAATCACGGTCAACCTTCTTCTTCTTGTGTACAAAACCTCATATTTTCTGGGTGGTTTCTACACCATATCACTGAGTCATGTTGGTAGGTGTCGACTACCTGGTTGGAGTCCGCGAGATGATAATAATCGACGATTAGAGACCATGAATGACATGGCTCAAAATCATTTGCAATGGCGCCGGTGCATTTATTCTTTGTGTTCTCTCAAATCCTAATCCTCTGGATTCTTCAACACGGTTTTGACTTTCTAAACTTTTCTCATTGAATCATACTTCTTGAATAATATCTTCTAATCCTAACCTCTCCGATTACTTGTAATACCTTTACTACCTCTTCTACTATTGTATTTGAATTGACGATTACATCTCTGTACTGATGTGGTATGGTGACATGAACTGATGTACTTACGTACGAAGTTCTACGTTGCATCTGACTGACTGACTGACTGACACTATATCAAGATTTTTTGATACCGTTAGTGGGGCCTTGGGACACTTGGATTAGAGTAGCCTATCGTGTCACTGGGATCACTTGTCTTAGCTCTCGTTTACTGACTAAAAAGTGAACTCGTAATAGCATTCAAGCATATCAATTGACAAGCATAACAGAGGTACAAAGTAATTATACAAATTTTCTAACATTTTTTGAAGTAATCACAATTGCATTGCAGAGTAGACTAGACACACATAGATCCAATAACTACGCAAAGTGAATTTCTATAGTTTTTTAAGTTAATCTTGTAAAATCTCAGCCAATACATATATGAAGTTGTTTTTGAGTGTGCTCATAAAGAGATAACAAGTAGATGTCTTTTCGATCACATCAAGTGTTTTTAATCATGAGGCGGCATAAAGATTGTAATAATGTGACAATATATTATCAAGACAATCATTAACTATTTTTTGTCTTGCTATAAAAAAAACTAACATAAAATGACGAAATTATTGAAGAGTTTGAATTTGAATGTTACGCCTGCACGTAAACACGTCAACTTGATTATGCTTGAACTATTACGAGTTTACCTAGTCGGAAAACGAAAGCGAGGATCGAGGATCCAGTGACACGACATACTACTCAAATCCAATTATCCCTATAATAAGTAAAATAAGAAGACTTTATATGAAGTAGAATATGTTTTCTACAAGCATCCAGAAAGTACGAGGTCCGAATCCAGAAGAGGATCAGGACCCTGGACTAGGTATCCGGGACCGAACCCTGGTCTTGGTCATAAGACGTTATAGATAATGCGTATTTACATTTAGGTTGAATGTGAAACAGCATCGAAGTCTGTGACATTGACAGTTATGAAGACCAATAGGAAGCAACGACATCTGTAGGGAAGCACGGTATCAACTGGACTGTTAGGACGCAGCTGGACGATCTGGACTTCGCAGATGACCTGGCTCTTCTATCTCACGCACAACAACAAATGCAAGAGAAGACGACCAGTGTAGCAGCAGCCTCTGCAACAGTAGGTCTCAACATACATAAAGGAAAAAGCGAAATTCTCCGATGCAACACAACATGCACCAACCGAATCACTCACTCTTGATGCAGATGCCTTGGAGGACATTAACACCTTTACATATCTTGGCAGCATCATCGACAACCAAGGTGGATCCGATGCAGATATGCGGGTGCGGATTGGCAAAGCAAGGACTGCATTTCTACAGTTGAAAAACATCTGGAACTCCAAACTACTGTCAACCAAAACCAAAATCAGGATTTTCAATACAAATGTGAAGACAGTTCTACTGTATGGAGCGGAAACCTGGAGAACTACGAAAGCCATCATTCAGAAGATACAAGTGTTTATTAACAGTTTACTACGCAAAATAGTTCGGATTCGTTGGCCAGACACCATTAGCAACAACGAACTGTGGGAGAAAACAAACCAGATTCCAGTGGAGGAGGAAATCAGGAAGAAGCGATGGAAGTGGATAGGACACACACTACGAAAAGCACCTAACTGCATCACAAGACAAGCCCTCACATGGAACCCTCAAGGTGAAAGGAAAAGAGGAAGGCCAAAGAACACATTACTTTTCCGAGAAATAGATAAAGATATGAGAAGAATGAACAAACATTGGACAGAACTGGAGAGGGAAGCCCAGGACAGACAGAGTTAGTTGGAGAAAACTTGTGGGCGGCCTACGCTCCAATGGGGGTAACAGGCGTAAGTCAGTAAGTAAGTAAGTAATAGGAAGCAACGTTTGAAATGACACTGATCGTCTGGACAACCGATAAGAAACAACAAATATTAACCATAATCAATGTAAAATATTTTATGCAAGATTCATCTCAGTGTAGGTTACATTTTGTCCAGTTATCAAGTTGTATTATATCTCATTATGTTAATACCTTGAAAACATATTCAGTCAATCAGCAATGCTAAAACAGTTGAATCAAATCCATGTAATGTGTACATGCCATTTTCCAATACATTAAATCACATTTTCTATTTGAATTTCTAATTCCATTGTTATTTCGTTTTTTATTTATTTTAAAGCTGCTCAAACAGAAATTACTCGTTTACAAATAGAAAATGATCGTTTAGTTGGTCATTCACGTGAAACCGAAACTGAACTGAACGATGTTCGTATGACATTGGCCACATTACGCAATCGTCTATTAGAAGATAATCTTACACAATATCTTGAATTACCACCGAATGAAATGAATGGTTATATGAATAGTAATAGTAGATTAGGCAGTATTGTTAGTGGTGTCAGTATGCGTGGTTCTATGCATCATCATACTACTGGTGCTGCTTCTGCTGCTGTGCCTGCGCCTGCGCCTGCTTCTGCTGCTGTTGATGCTAATGTTAATAATCCATTTCAAGATAATGTACGACATGAAAGTAGCCTAGAGTCGTCACAATCATTCTTATCGAAAATCTCCGCGTTAGGCATGAATGCTCGTTTAACCAATATCATTCCATTGACTAATAATAATAATAATCAATTACAAACCAATGGAAACAGCGCTAATTCTGGTGGTGGAGGTTGGTGGTGAACATGGCCAATCAGGGTGGTGTTTGATGTTGTTGTTAATCTTTTAATCGAAACTAATTGATTGATTACCCTCTCCTTGCTCGGATGTATGTGAATGATCCCTATTTGCTCATATCATATTTTTGTTTATTGATGATGATAATTTCTCATTGTTGTTGCCTTGTCATACCATAATATTATAAATGGAGATGATTTTGTACACTTAGGTTTATATATTTATTTACAAAACACACAAAGGTTTTTTTTTTACTTGTCTTCATCTGCCTCCCGATATTGTTGTGTTTCAAAGCCGTCGAATGTACACCTGATTAATCCAACACACACACACACACAGCCATCGGTTGTGTTGTTTGTTGAAAGAATCATTCAGTGTACAATATTGATAAAAGAAACATTTTGTGTGTGTGTGTGCGTGCACGTGTTCTTTATTACACTATCCGCAGAAAAAATCTGTGATATTCAACTGGTTTTTGATTTTGTCTCTGATCATCCTCTCTCTCTCTCTCGCGCGCACACACACACAGACACACAAAGTTGCTCAATATTCAATAATCAATAGAAGTTGATTGTCAGAACCTCTTTCTTTCTTTTGAGGTTGGATGCTTTATACACACTATCGCATTATCAATAAAATGTTCATGATATTATATTGATGAGATGTTTGTTAATTTTCTCTACTGAATATATTGTATTGTTTCTGTTCTCTCTCTCTTGCTGTTCACCTTTTTTTTAAATAAACCAGAGTTGTTTTCACCGCTTCACTGGCTGACTTGACTGGTTGACGACTGACTGACTATCAATCAGGTGCCTGTGCATATAGAATGGAAATTTAATTTATTTTTTTATCTCGCACACCCACACACACAACACATTCATTCCTTGTAATCAATTTTTACTGAGAAAAAAAAAGTTAATGAAATGAGGCTTTTGACAATTTTCTTCTTCCTTTTTACTCCAAAAAAAGTAATCATTCATCACAGAAATGAAATTTTTAATTGTAAACTGATTTGTTTTTTGATTTTTGCTGTAGTAATCCAGTCATTCCTGTGGACAATACAATGGTTGTGTTTTGTTGTCGCCAATTATAGATGGTGTGTGTGCGCGCGCACGCAACGTGTTGTGTGTGTGTAATTTTCTTCATAAACTTGAACTTGTGTTTGTGTCATTGATGAATTCGCCTTGTTCAACTTAGGGGGGGGGGCCAACTAGCACTCACATCCGAATTTTTTTCGCCGCTTTCATCTCTCTCTAGGAATTTCTTCAATGAACAGATAGACAGACAGACACATGGTTATTAATCTTCCTTTCTAATTTTATTTTTATGCAATTTTTTTTATTTATTAATCTTCTTCACCTTAATCAGAGTTGACATTAAAAAATAGTTTTGTTGTGTAATTGTGTTGATTTATTACTTGAGAGTACGCGTAACATTCATTCAATTGATCAATTAATTTATCTATAATAATAATAATAATAATAATAATAATTTTTTATGATTATGACTGATATTTGTTTACTTTTCTGTGTGTGTGTCTGTCTGTGTATATTTAATATGAACAATTGACTGACCTCTTCATAGTTCGCTCGTATTGTGTACTGATGTCTAGTGAACCATTGACCGAATGAATGAATGAGAAAGTTGTCATTTTTTGGTATTTATCTATCTATCTTAATATAGACAATAACGAACTCTGTGTGTTGTTTTTTTATTACTGTTTTTGTCATTCCAACAACAACAACTACTCTCTTTTTTCTATTTGCGCAAATGTAACAAGAGTTTTTCCATGTGTAGGAGGACAATTTAAAAGTTTTCTCTTACCTCTTAGATGATAAATCAAGGAATTTTTCTGATTCTTTCAAAACACAATACACATATGTGCATATATATTACATATCTTGGAGATTTTTTTGATTATGATGATGATGATGATGTGAACAGGCAAACAGCTAATTTTTTAATTGTATTTGTTGTGATAAAAAAAATATGTTTATATTTATTTCTTATAATATATTTTCAACAATAAACAATTACTTATTTTATTTATTGTTCACCATTGGCACAGAAAAATCAATAAATCGATCGATCAATCAATCAATTAATAAAAGAATCAAATATATACAGCATTACAAAACAAAATGTTGTTCCTTTTTTGATTTTGACAGATCAATCGATCGATGATGTGAATTGTGATGCGTGGTAATGATTGAATGAGTATATTTTTTTAAAAAAATTTCATCATTATCTTATTATGTTTTGGTGCGTAGAATGTGAAAGTAAATTGGATTCTATGCAACGAAAAATTTTGATGTGTGTATACCATGAGTTATGATTGATTGATTAACTGACTGAAACTGAAATTCAACACAGTTCACTACTAGCAAGTAGCCGATCTTTGATTATTTTCTCTAGATGATTTCGAAGAACTTCAATTTGTTTTTTGTTTTAATCAAAGTTAAACTGTTCAATATCACTCATTATAAGCTTTCTAAAACAAAGGTTATGCTCGTCAATTGATATGCTTGAATATGCTATTACGAGTGTTGGTTCACCTTAGTCGGTAAATGAGAGCGAAGACAAATAATCCATTGATTGTCATGATAAGCTAGTCTAATCCGTTTTGGCACCGGCCCGGCTAACTATATCAAAAAGTCTTGATATGGCCATAGAAAGTGTGTTTTACAAGCACTCAGAAAATACGAGGTTGACAAGCATACAAATCGACCTTATTTATACATGATAGAAACGTCCTTGGGAGAGCCATAAAAATAGCGTACTAAAATAATCCATCAACCAATGACAGTCAAGGATTTCCTGGGTGGGAAATGTAATCTCAAGATCAAATGATCAGCCCATATGCGAAAGCACAAAATCCAAAATTAGGACCATTATCCAGTGAGTTCTGCAGGATCTAACGTCCCCAACAGAAAATTATCTAGATTTCAATAGACACAATTTAACCAATTGTAGATTTATGCACTCAACTTTTACATCTGAAATCGTGTAATTCAGAGATGAACATTTTAACAACTAAGCTGATTGATTGCTCTACCAACGTTTAGGCGATCACATCACATATTCAAAGCGTATTTGATTTTGTTTCTATTTGAGAATACCTCGTTGACTAGTATCAATACACAATACGGTGCGTAACAGTAAGCGAAAAAGGCAATATACACAAACGCATACTTGTTAAGTGATTATTATTTCTTGAATTAATTGTGCAGTAATTCTTTTGACTTCAATAGATATTAATTCATTTATACTAATTATCATTGCTATGTTTTTGCTTTCTTTTATATTTTGTAACATGTCTTACCACCGACTGCCTCGACGAGCTATGTTTTGTGGTGTAGGAGTAGGTTGGAAGAAAGCTAGAGGCGGCCAAACCTAAACATGGCAGCAATCCATGAAGTCACTGACTAGTGGACTGAGTCATGTTGGTAGATGTAGACTACCTGGTTGGGGTCTGCGAGACGAAAGTCATCAATGGTTAGAGACCTTGAACGAGATGGCTCAAAATCGTTTGCAATGGCGCAAGTGCATCCATTCGTTGTGCTCTCTCAAATCCTAATCTTCTGGATTCGTCAACACCTCTACACCTTTGTCTTTCTAACCTTATCTCACTGAATTATACTTCTTGAATAATATCTTCAAACCCTAGTCTTCTTCATTACCATTTATACCTCTACTATCTCTCTATCACTATAGGATTTGATTTGACATTTGCGTCTCTGTGCTAATGTGGTATGGCAACATGAACTTATGTACGTTGCAACTGACTGACTGACTGACTATGTTTTGTAAAAAAGCAGTCATCCTTACCGTTTCTGTTTTAATGTCTTTGAATGAAGAGAGCTGAATACGAGTATAACTAGAAAGTGTAGCTTGCTATCTATAAGTGTACTTGCTATTGATTGATTGCATTTAGCTATATATTATGATAAACCAAATGACAACATAATTATTTAATTAATTTTCCAATTCTTCAATGATTATAGAAATCGTTGTCATTTATGTAAATTGTTTTTCTTTTTTTTCACGTGTGTGCGCGCGCGCTGATCATTTCTTTGATTCATCATATATAAAGGTAGATTGATTGATCTTGTGTTTGAATATTAAGCAATCGCTGTGTGTGCATATAAAAAAAATAATTATTCTCCTTTTCTTATACATGAAAAAAAGAGACTTCATGTGATGCCAAGATATCATTTCATGTGATTTAAACTAAACTCTTAATTTGTAATTTTTAACTTTTTATCTTATTAGAGTTTCTTAAGTTTTGATGCCAATCTGAATATGAAATGATAGAGTGGGAATTTTTGAGGTCAGTTGGAAAGCAATTAATCTTCAGCTTTAACCAATGATCAAAACTAAACAGTATATTCAAGAATGGGGGGATAGGTTGGAAGAAAGTTAGAGGCGGTCAAATCAAAACATGATAGAAATCCATGAAGTCACTGACGACAACTTGACCGAGTCATGTTGATAGGTGCAGACTACTTACTAGGTTGGGGTCCGAGAGACGTAAGTCACCGATGGTTAGAGATCTTGAATGACATGGCTCAAAACCGTTCGCAATGGCGCAGGTGCATTCATTCTTTGTGTTCTCTCAAGCCCGAACCTTCTGAATTCCTCAACATCTCTATCTTTCACTTTTTAAACATGTCTCACTGAACTATACTTCTTGAATCATATCTTCGATCCCCAATGTTCTCCATTACCTGTAATTCTTCTACTACCTTTACCGCTATGGTATTGGAAATGACAATGGTGTCTCTGTGCTAATGTTGTGGTATGGCAACCTGAACTGATGTACGTACGTACGTAAGTACGAAGTTCTACGTTCTAATTGACTGACTCATATTCATGAAACTACAAAAATTTATTTTGATTATACTAGATGAATTTTTATCAACACTTATGTATAGAACGGTGACAGTATTGTAACTACATTGTGAATATAAGAATGGCAGATCAATAGATGAAGTGGTGAAACTTCA